GGCCGTGCTTCGTCATATGACCGATAAGCTGAAGGTTGACCTCGAGAAGGCCCGCAAGGAGAGCCTAATCGAGAAAGAAAATGGGATCGATGAGGGTTGCAGGACATTCCTCAAATATCCCATGGGTGCCATCTTCCTTGAGACCTATCGTAAAGCGGTCGTTCGAGCTTTTTGCAACTCCCCCAAGTTTCTTGACACGCTTTTCCCCGCTGCTGTTCACTACTTCGACCATACCTTCGACGCATGGGTAGCAGTGTTTGCGGGGTCAAAGTTTGCCGGAAGACTCGACCGCGAGGCAATGAGGCTGGCGCTTCTCGACTCTGATGACTATGAGGGTGATGCGTCCCTCCCTGACGACTACGCGTGGTGGTCGGGACTCCAAGCCTTGGCTATTCACGAAGCCACCCTTGGTGCAAAATTCGAAGTCCTTCCCACCCCCTTGGTTGGTCCGACTGAGCTAGTCGAACCAAGTGGGGCCAACCGCGAGGGAGAGGCCGAGCCGCAAGGGATGGAGCCACTCGTCGATGAGCCTATCGGGGAAAAAATAGACGTCGAGGCTGAGAGGACCGTGACCGCTGTCGAGGGTGGCGATGGGAATGCCGAGAGGTCCGATGCCGAGTCTTGAATATGTTTCTTGGGGCTATGCCCATCTATCTTTTGAACTTTTTTGTTTATTTTGTTTGTTATCGTTCTCTACCTATTTTCCTTTTGTAAAGGTCGAGACGATGCTGCTTGTAATCGAACTTAATGCTGCTTGTAATTGAATTTATGGAAATTATCTTTTATGAATACTAATCTTTTCTCTATTTTTTGTTCATCGTATCCTATCGTTTTCTTTTGTTCTTGCGTTGTCATGGATGTTTGTAGTAATTAAGGTTGACTTTTCTTGTCCCTTCTTCTTCCAACCCTTCGTGCGAGCTGGTCGAAGTCGAGCAATGATTTTGACAACTGCATAGCTGTTAAGCAAATTTTTCGAGTTGCCTTCTCCCAACCCTTCGTGCGAGCTGGTCGAAGTTGAGCAACGATTTTAATAGCTGCATAGCTGTTAAACAAGTTTTTCGAGTCGCCTTCTCCCAACCCTTCATGCGAGCTGGTCGAAGTCGAGCAACGATTTTAACAGCTGCATAGCTGTTAAACAAGTTTTTTGAGTCGCCTTTTCCCAACCCTTCGTGCGAGCTGGTCGAAGTCGAGCAATGATTTTAACAACTGCATAGCTATTAAACAAGTTTTTCGAGTCGCCTTCTCCCAACCCTTCGTGCGAGCTAGTCGAAGTCGAGCAATCTCTGTTGTACGATTGTCTATATAATCGTGCCCACAGTTTTGATTCAACATTTGGTTATTTGAAATGATATGTCGATGTGCAGCGTCGTAGTTGTTTAGTCCACTTCGTAGTCGTAGGCTTCATAGCCTCATCGAGATTCCACTTGGTACAACTTCGTAGTTATTTGGTCGACTTCGTAGTTGTAGGCTTCATAGCCTTATCGAGATTCCACTCGGTACAACTTCATAGCTGTTTAGTCGACTTCGTAGTCGTAGGATTCGTAGCCTCATCGAGATTCCACTCGGTACAACTTCGTAGTTGTTTTGTCGGCTATGTAGCCGTTCTGAAAAATTCTATCTTTTAACATTCATAAAGAGGTCGATATGAAAGATGTAAACAACAATTGAAGCATAAACTTAAAGTTCATTGCATTACTGAATTTGATTCAAACATTGTTGAGTACAAAAGAGTGCAAAACATTGCTTTAAGTGTAAAAGCATTTTAGATGGATCACATGCCAAGATCGCGGCAGTTGTCGGCCCTCTCCGTCCTCGAGCTCGTATGCGCCCCTTTCTAGCACCTTTGTCACGGTATAGGGACCTTCCCAGTTGGCCTCGAGCTTTCCGACATGCTTCAGAGGGTTTGCTCGCTTGAGAACGAGATCTCCCACTTTGAAACACCTGGTTCGGACTTTCTTATCGAAAGCTGCATGCATCTTTTTGTTTTATATTCAACGGATCGTAACCAAGCCTCTTCTCGCCCTTCTTTAATCAGGTCGAGGGCTTCCTTGACCATATCCTCGTTCTTTTCCTCCTCGAAATACGTCGACCTGTGCGAGCTTAGTGCGATTTCCACTGGCAAGAGTGCATCCATCCCATATACCATACTAAATGGTGATTGGCCCGTCGAGCTTCTCGGCGTCGTCCTGTATGCCCACAGGACAGTTGTTAACTCGTCAATCCAAGCTCCCGATGCTTTTCTAGTAGCTTTTTTAGCCCTTGAAAAATAGTCATATTCGTAACCTCGACTTGCCCGTTAGCTTGGGGGTGAGCGACCGAAGAAAATCTCTGTTTGATTCCCATGTCGAGGCACCATGCTTGGATTCGCTTCCCCAGGAATTGTTTTCCGTTATTTGAGATCAGCACCTTTGGAATTCCAAACTGACAGCAGATATTGTTGAATAAAAATTGTATCATCTTCTCCTCGATGATTTTTGCCAAGGGCTCTGCCTCGACCCATTTGCTGAAGTAGTCAACGGCGACTACCAGAAACTTTCTTTGTCCTGTTCCCATTGGCAATGGGCCCACCCAGTCGATTTCCCCATTGAGCAAAAGGGATCGGGAAACTGATTGTCGTCATCGCTTCGGCTGGGATGTGCGGAATTCGACCATGGCGTTGGCATCTTTCGCATTCCCGTACCAACTGCTCGGCCATCTTTCGAATTTTTGGCTAGTAATAGCCTGCTCGCAGAGCCTTGCCAGCTAAGGCTCGAGATCCCACATGTGCTTCGCAACACCCTCATGGATTTCTCTCAAGACATAGCTTCCTTCCTCCTCGAAAACACATTGCAGGTGGGGCCCGATCTTCGACTTTTTATACAAGATCCCCTCGACTTCAAAGTATTTGCTCAAATATCGAGCTGCTTTTTTCGCCTCCTGCTTATCTCATTCCGGTACTCGACCTTGTAACATCTCGCGAATTGATTTTCTCCAATCATCCTTCTCGTAAACCTCCATTGTCTCGCCTAAGACACTTCCTTCTAAATGCATAGTAGTAGTGCGATTTCCCATTTTTCCTTCATTCGAACTCCCGATTCTTGCGAGCCAATCGGCTCGCTTGTTTTCCTCTCGAGGGACTTGTGTTAGTTTGAATCTCTTCAAGCTTTGCACCAGGATTTGAATTTCCTCGACATATTTCATCATTCGATCCTCCTTAATCTCGCAATTCCCCAGTACTTGTCCGACAACAAGTTGTGAGTCGGAGTGTGATATGATCTCCGTTTCTCCGCCACCGACTGCAAGCTGTATCCCTTTGATTAGTGCCTCATATTCCGACTCATTATTCGAGGCCTTAAACCCCATTCTGATGGTGAAGTCGAGTTGCTCGCCTTCGGGAGATATGAGGACAACCCCTAAACCAGACCCTTTGGCCGTCGAGGATCCATCGACATGCATCATCCATTTCTTCTCTTCCCCCTTAGTTCCCTCTTGAATAAAATCTGCCAAAGCTTGGGCTTTTATGGCTCGGCTTGGTTCGTATTTGATGGAGTATTCACTCAGCTCGACCGCCCATTTCACGGGTCGACCCGAAATAGTAGGTCGACCCAAGGTCTCCCCAAGATGGAAGTTTGTTCTCACCACTATCACATGATTCAAAAAATATGGCCTCAACTTTCTGGCTGATATTACTAGCGTCAAGGCGGCTTTCTCGACTTCGGAATATCTCATCTTTGCACCATGAAGTACTCGACTCGTATAATAGGTCGGCTGCTGGGCTCCTCATGCTTATCGCAACAATACTGAACTTAAGGTAAATATTCCCACTGAGATGTAAAGCACCAACTCATCGTCGGGTTCTGGTTTTGTTAATAGCGGCAGCTCGCTTAGAAATTCCTTCAGTTTTTGGAATGCCATTTGAGCCTCGTCATTCCATTGAAATGTTTTCTTTTTGAGCAACTTGAAGAATGGGAAACTTTTCTCCCCTGCTCGAGCGATGAATCTGCTTAGACCGGCAATTCGACCCGTCAGGACTTGTACTTCTCTGATATTCTTTGATGGGGCCATGTCGAGTATGGCCTTCACCTTGTCATTGTTCACTTCGATGTCTCTTTCAGTCACGACATAACCAAGAAATCATCCTGCCTTCACTCCGAAGGCGCATTTACTCGGGTTCAGCTTCATCCCAAATGTCCTTAGTGTCCTGAATGTTTCTCTTAGATCCTCGATCTGTGAAGTCGAGGACCTACTTTTCACCAGGATGTCGTCCACATAAACCTCCATATTACGCCTGATTTGCAGCTTGAACATTCGATCCATCAACCTTTGGTATGTCGCCCCCACATTTTTGAGTCCAAAGGGCATGACGACATAATAGTAAGTCTCTTTGCTTGTCACGAAGCTGACTTTGCTCTGATCCTCGGGGGCCAGCAGAATTTGATGATACCCTTGAGAAGCGTCCATCATACTCAACAGCTAGCAACTGGCTGTGGAGTCGACTAGTTGATCAATTCTCGGCAGAGGGTAATGATCCTTCGGGCATGCCAGATTTAGGTCACTAAAGTCGATGCACATACGCCATTTATTCAATGCTTTCCTCACCATTATTGTGTTGGATATCTATTCGGGGAATTGGATTTCTTTGATGTGCTTGGCTTTTAGTAACTTATCCACCTCGACCTCAATTTCTTTATCGACTTCAGTCCCATAACCTCTAAGTCGTTGTTTGACGGGCTTCTTGAGGGGATCGTCATTGAGCTTATGTTCCATGACCTCCGGGTCGATTCCCGTTAGTTCTTCAGGAGAGAAAGCGGATGTGTTTCTAAATTCCTTCAACAAATCCACCAACTGCTTTTCAACTCATTCTCCAACTCTCTCCCTACCCTTGTGGTTTGGTCTTCTCTCTCCCCGGTCTAGATTTCCATCAGTTCTTCATGCGGCTCGAGGTCGCCCCCTCTCAGCCTCTTTTCATTCGACATAGGCTTCTTTCCTTCCCTTACCTCTGCTCGTTGGTTTGTTTTCACTGCTATTTGGTAACAGGTTCTCGATAGCTTCCGTTCTCCCCGGGCTTCCCCTACTCTGTCCCCAACGGGAAATTTTAGCTTCATGTGGTAGGCTGACATCACTGCTTGGAATGCGTTGAGTGCCGGTCTGCCCAGAATCACGTTATAGACAGACTCGACGTCGACTACAACGAATTGTACCATCTTTACCTTCCTCAAGTCGCCTTCCCCCAGGACGACAGCAAGTGTGGTTTCTCCTAGGGGTGCGACTTCTGATCCATTGAACCCGAAGAGTGATGTGTGTAGAGGCGTAAGCTCGATGTCGAGTTCCATCCTTTTAAGACAGTCATAAAAGATCACATTTACCGAGCTCCCTGTGTCGACGAAGATTCTCTGCACTTCATAGCCCGATAGTTGGGCGGTTATCATCAAGGCGTCATTGTGAGGTCTCTCGACCTCTCCCATATCTGTTGGCCCAAAATTCATCACTGGTCCTCCCTCGTTGACTTGCTGCACCTCGATTTTAGCGTATTTCCCTCGGGCATATGCTTTTTTGCTCGATTTGAATCTCCGTCAGTCGGCCCACCGAAGAACATATGAATTACTCCCCTCTTCGGGGGAAGCTCCTCCTTCTCGGGTGATCTCGCCCTCTTACGAGGGCTTTTACTCCTTTCTCTCCTTCGAGTTGTCCTCTGCGATCCTTATATATGAACTCTTTCAAATGGCCCGCTTTTATCAACCTCTCGATCTCGTCTTTTAGGTGTCTGCAATCGTCAATATTATGCCCATAGTCTTTGTGAAATCGACAATGTAGATTGCTTTTAGGTTTCGTCGGTCCGTCATTCCTTGTTTTGGGCCATCTCACCACATTGTCGCGAATCTCCCTTTCCATGACCTCCAGAATCTTGGCTTGGGGAGCAGCCAGAGGGGTATAATGAGTCGGCCTCCAACTCCTAGGCCGCCCTTCTCTTTCAACTTGCAGAGACCCCTTTCTTTCTCTAGTCAAGGAACTCTTCTTCTCCCTCCTCTCTTCCCGAGAGTCGGTCTTGATTACTTTAGTCATTTGCAGGAAGTCGGCTTCTGCCTCCTCAACATTCATGTACTTAGCACATCTCCCCAGTACTTCATCGAACGTTCTACCCGGGTGCTTTGCTAAAGAATTCCTACACAAGCCTGGCAGCAACCCTCGAGTCAAACCTCCCGCTTTTATTTTCTCCGACGCCCTGGGCACTTCGACGCACGCCCGCATATATCTCGCGACATAATCTCGCAGTGACTCACCCTCCGTTTGTTGTATACACATCAAAGTTAGATACGATTTCTCCTGTGGTCTAACACTTGCAAATTGATTCAGAAAGCTCGAGTTGAACCCGTCAAAATCCTTGATGGCCCCCGAAGGCAGTTGATGGAACCAATCCTAGGCAGAACCCCTCAAGGTCGTCAAAAAGGCTCGACACTGTACTGGGTCGTTATAACGATGGAGCACCGCCATGTTCTCGAAACTTCTCATGTGTCGGGATGGATCAGTCGACCCGTCATAGCTTATGTTTAGACCGCGGAAACCTTGTGGTAGGTCGGCATCGAGAATATGCTGCGAGAATGGATGTCCTCTCGAACCACTAGTTTTTCACCCCTCGACTCGGGCTTTTAAATCGCGAACTTGGGCCAGCAATTGCTCCAATGTGTCGTCTCTCGCTTGCGGGTTAACAGTCCTGATGGAGGATGCCTCCTCTTCCGCCCTCCTGTTCGGCCTCTCATTGGACTGTGTCTGTTGTTCGCGCTTGACATTCGGCTGTTCGATCCTCAATGGCTCGACTCGGGGCTGCTCAACCCTGGGTTGCTCGACTGAGCCTACTTCAGTTGAGCTGCCACTGCTTCTGCTATCATATTTTGCATTTCTCCTCTCATCATTGTCACCGTTTGCTCCTCGACTTGATGTCGTACAAGTGCCTGCTCCGGCTCTTCCTGGATCTATTTTCCTTCACGTCGAGGCATTTCCATTGACTCCCTTCCTCCATCGGATTGGGGTTTTGACTTGCTCCTGCTGAGGTCAGCACCGGTACTTTCACTTCGGGTGCAGTAATGGGTGTTTCTCCACCCAGACTCACTCCCTAAGGTGGAAGTTCTCCATACGGTGGTAATCTCAACACCTGCATCACCGGAGCTCTAGGGGCGGCGAGCGATGGTGGTCTCCTCTCCGTCCAAGTTCCCCTAAACTCTTCATTCAAATTTCTTTGCAAACCTTCCTTCTCATCGATTAGAGACAGATCGGAGCTAGGTGTAAAAGCCCTTGATTCCTTCAAGAGCTCCCCACAGACGGCGCCAAAATGATGGGCCTACTCTCAGATCTAGAGTGAACTGGTGGAAATAAGCCTGGATATGCCTAAATTGCCTTCGAACAGTTGTTAGATCGCGAGAATACATGCAAAAAATCAACGCCGGAGAGGTTTCCGGCGTAGAGCCTCTGACGCTCAAGTCAATATATGTGAGAGAAATGGAGAAAGCTGCTATGACAGAGCAGCAACTATGGGGAGGAGATTATATAATGAATGGAAGTTAGAGTTTAGGGCTACCTATTCTCCTTTATGTAGGAGGGAGAATTTACCTGAGATGTCCAAAATGCCCCAAGTCGGTGGACCTAAAAGGTCCAAATTACCCTAGTCGATTCGTCTCCTCTTCTTGCTGAGTCATCCCCCAGATTTTCTCTTATCCATAGGGGGACAAGAGATTCTAATGAATGTGTCAAGTATATGTAGTCGACTGTATACTTTATACCTCGAGATATGGGGCGTCGACCTCGGGTACCCTTATGCTGACTCAGGTCCCAACTATTCGGAGGTCATGCTCCCATAACTCCTCACACACACGTCGACTCCTAGAAAGTCGACTGATACAAGTCGACCTTTATGAGTCGACCTGTACGGGACCTACCTTCTCGAGCAGGCGTTAAGGTCGAGTCGACTTTGAACTAAGTCGACTTAAACACCTCATCGACACGTGTTGATGCGCTGGTGGAGCCGATAATCTTCGGGTCGAAGAGAGAGCCTTTGGACCAGAATATCTTTATATGTCTATATCAGATACGATTTTGAATGTATATCCTGTCCAAATCTCAATTTAGTTTTAAAATAAAAGTTGCACTTGGTTTTATCCAATTTGCTCACATTTGTGAAAGAAAAAACTATTAAAAATATTATAAGAATTTGTTAAGAATTGTACAACTATTTGTTTTCTAAATTTGTATCCAATTTGCACAGCTTTAAATTAATTTGTATTTTAAATTTTTTTCATAAATATTGACATTTTTTTGACATAAGAATCTCCAAATTTGTTCCAAAAAAAAAAATGGGATTCAAATTCTGTTACTAAATAGCTGGAAAGATAATTAGGTCAAATTCCTAACAATATGATTAAATTTGATTCTTAAAGATTCACATGTGTTTTTCCCGAAACTACCACTAATAGTAAGTCGAACTTTTACATTTTTAGTCAAAGTTGCTATAAAGGTATTTTTTCAACAACCTTTTTATATTACTATGGATATGGATATAGATATAGATAATAATAAATATTGAAATTAATAAATTTATTTAACTATTATGGTCATTAAGTAATATTCAAAGACAGAATAGTAGTCCAAGGCACACAAGGAAACCGACAACCAATCCAAATTGGAACGGACCTTCCCATTCAATCACGAACTTCACCACGTGCAAAATTTCTCAACCAATAAATCTTGCCACGTCCCTTTCCAGTCCAAACTGAAAGGCAAAAAAATCATCCTGCCTCCTTCCCTTCACCCTCAAAATCTCATCGTCTCGGCCAGCTCCAAAAATTCAAATAATCTCCTGGCAATCCACTTATCCATCAGTGTACAACATCTCGCTGGCGTCTGCAACCTATCCACAAACCTTCGGCAGACCTCGCCTTCAGCACACACAATTTTGACACTCTTGCCCTTCATGTTCAAGCCGTTAGGGCGCTCGACCAATCCCGCACCAGTCCCACCAACCACCTTCGAGAAGCCACGTTCAAGGAACTCATAATTTCCATATTCAAACACTAATCTACGTCAGTCCTCTACCGTAACCCAACTGTCATCATCCATCGTCGGCCGAATTTCTTGGCTAGCAACAAAACCCCAGCCCCGACACTTGAATCCTTGATGCACACAAACTTGTAAAAATCACATTGCAGATGTCTTCTGTCGAAGCTTGGCCTGCATGTGTCCATGACGCTCGAAAATCCCAAACGACGTGCATCTCATGTGCATAAACCGTTGTTCTTGTGCGCCTTGTGTTGATGGCCATGCTGGAGTTCCAACAGCCCTACCCATTGTGTTGAGTTTATCACTCGTTCCTGCAGCCACCATCTCCTACCCGTTGTGCACATCCACTCGCCAGTCGACAAGACGTAAGCGCACAACCCCAATAGAGGCTCGCACCAAGCATCAAGCGCTAGAGAGAACCAACAAGGGCGTGATTGTTTACATTTTGTACAGTAAATATCACACTCAAAACTCAAATTTAACTCAACTTTAACTTAACTCCACTATCTACAATATCATCAATATAATTAAATAATATCAACCAATCATTATTACACATCACATCAACTTTAATTCACTATTCATCCACTCACATAATTTTAACTAATCATCACTTCTAATCATTTTCTCTTATTTTTATATCAAATCAACTTTAATTATTTTAATTTAAATGTTATTTTAATATATCCACTAACAACTAACCATACTACTTTTTTTCAAACTTAACTATAGTTTAAAAAAAAAAAAACTAGTTTCTTACTAGTTGAATTCATATCCAATCACCCACAAACAATCAGGCCGTAAGCAACCAATATGCGATTATTGGGGTTGCTGGTCTTGATAGTCTTTGTCGAGTTGAGTTCGAGCGCCTTGTTTTTCGTTCTTCTACATGTTCGTCGAAAATAAAATTAAAATCTACAATTTTTTAATCCTACAACCCAAGCATGAGCCTTACATGTTTGTTCTAGAAAGCAGTAAATCAATACAACCTGATATATTGACCATGCACATAGTGTACTTTTGGTTGTTGTTGCCTTGTTTATAATGCAATTTCATTGCACGATTTTTGATTTATATGCCAAAGGGGAAGATTGTAAGATTCTGAAGATTGGCATTAAATTGATAACTCTTAACAAAAGCTTAGAACCTTCGTCATCCTCTTGAACAATGTTGAATCATAACAAGGGAAGCTTTCATTATTCTATCTTGATTATTTGAGTATACTTAGTTTCCTATTTACTTGGATTATTTTGCTTGGAAGGAAACAAGATTCATTGCCATATAGAGGAGTCATACGCACACATACCATAGGTGGAACCCATTAGAGAGAAGGAGGACTTATCAAGTGGAGCTGACTTGCGAGAGAGACAAGCGGCCGCAGGTATGAGAACATGACAAATTTTGGAAGAT